GGAGCTTAGGGTATATAGGGATTCTATAAGGCTGCCATTAGGTGTATATATATATATATATATACTCCTGTAAGGCTCCTATAACGGTAACTACCCACCTGAAAATGTCCTAGATCCATGATGCACCCCGACTAAGTAGCAAGCATGTCATGGGCATCGCAAGGCAGTATTTGCGTCGCCAAAACTCAAGACCACGCTAGACAATACAAGGACTTACAAACACTTATAGGGACTTATAAGGCTTTACCAGGACTTATTAGTGCTTCATAGAGCTCACTAAGCGTTAATAAGGCCTAATCGGTTGAGGGGGCGCATGCCTGCCACAGCTCAGGCCTCAAGTTTGAAATGCAAAATGCCCATTGTTGTGGACGCTGCTTGTTGGGCCTTAATAAGCCTTATTTCCGCCTATTAGATCATACTAAGCCGAATTAGCGGGATCCATCTGCGGGGGCGCATTCTGGCGAGGCGCATAGTGGGCCCGTGACAAAGCCTAATTCCTGAATCTTGAAATCGTAACGTAACCCCCAAACAGAGAGCGCCCTGAAGCCGTAAAACGAAAGACAAAAACAACACGTAACTTTAATGATCAAGCAAAGAACCCGAAGATCAACCATCGGATATCAGAGGAAAGTTAAGGGTTTAGAGTTTAGGGCCTGGGGTGAAAGCAGGGATTTGCATGGGTTCTAAAGGTTGTATGAGGTAGTAAGGCCTCATATGCTAATTGAATTAAGACTTGGGATATATCATGCTAATCATTAGTCATAACATGTTATAACTACCATTCGGGCACAGAGGACTTTTTTACTACTTGCTGCTAGCTAATTCTGCAGCCGCGGTGCCATTCCCATCTTGCTTCCTGACGTACGGAGAGTGGGCCAAGCTTTGTCACACGCGTTGCTGGCTGGACCGGATGACTTCCCAAACTGGTCAATCGAGAAGAGTCCAAACGAAATCAAACGCCACATCAAAAGCATATGTTAAAGCCATCTGAGGATGTGGGCGATGAGTGTGGCCCAGACGACCAACGATTATTCGAGGCCCCGAGGACTTGGTAGCCGCATAGGAGTTCACTGAGCAAGGAGCCTTTGACCTAAACCCATACCCTAAACCCTAAACCCTATACGGTTTACCCGAAACCCTAAACAACAAAAACAAGGATAACCTAGGATACGAACCCCGACCATCTTTGATCATTGGATTATAATTGTCAGGCTAGTGCTTCAGGGTGTATTGTAGTATATCTCTAGATGAGCTAGAAAGGGATATACCTTCTGTATTTGATTCATGTACTAATCGTTACTAATCCTTCCGACCCTACGGCACATGCCATCGGACTGCGGCATGGATGGTGCTGGGGGTTTACTTTTGCAGCCTTGGGTTGCACGTAGGCCGTGGAACTCTTTCGACCGTTGCAGTCGTTCAAAAGCATCAAGAGTTGACACTTAGGGTTACCTAACCCCCCCAAAACATATGCAAAATGATGGCCCAACACCTATGAAAGGCCAGTATTCTACATACTTTGGGGATTCAGGTAGGGTTCTGGGTTGAATTAGGGGTTTAGGGTTTAGGGTATAGTTTGGCGATTCAGGTAGGGTTTTGGGTTTAATTAGGGGTTTAGTTAGGGTTTAGCGTTTAGGGTATAGTTTGGGGATTCAGGTAGGGCTTTGGGGTTTAATTAGGGGTTCTCATCAAAGGCCATGAGTCCGACTCCCATACCTCAACCCGCAAATCAACCGTAACCCAAAGCAAAGCCCTAATGCAGGGACCTTAGGGTTCTGGAGGCTCCTTTAAAGGGTTTAGGGTTTAGGGTTTAGGTAAAGGGTTCTATAAGGGCTACTATAAGGGTTCAGGGTTTAGGGACCTTAATGAGTAGAATAGGATTTTTTGGGGCCCATGATACTATAAATATAATAAGGAGCCCACCCAAAATAGTGTTCGTTTCTTTTGAAGGCCCCCTAAACCCTAAACCCTAAACCCTAAACCCTAAACCCTAAACCCTAAACCCTACATTACCGTCCTGAACCCCTGAAAACCTTGGGCCCCAAGCCGCCACACCCCTGAAGCCCCGAAACCGGAAACCACGAGGATGATGCTTCATCAAAGCGGCAGAAGACGACGCAGACACAAGGGTTCAGGGTTTAGGGTTTAGGGTTTAGGGTTTCTTACTTCCCCAATAAGCCAGGGAAATAAAAGGTTAAACTTTCAGGTTACTACTAAATTATAAGAACCCAAAAAGTTTAAAGGTTGGGTATTGGGGAACTAAGGCAGAAGACGACGCAGACACAAGGGTTCAGGGTTTAGGGTTTAGGGTACGGTTTAGGGTTTAGGGTCCTGCATTGAAGACCAGAGCCCCTGAACCCCCAAAACCTCGTCATGTCCTGACATTTCTGCGGTGGTTTGGTCCTCTTTTCATCCGAAGTTGCCGCAACCCTAGGCCCCAAACTCAAGTAGACCCTGAAACGATAAACCAAAAACAAGGTAAAATACATAAATAAGTATATATCTATATATATATATAAGGAATTTAAATTTTAGGGCTCAGGGCCCAAACCCCATCAAAACCCGGCGTACAAAACAACAAACGGCCCAGACTTCATCCGAAGTTAGAACCCATGGGCCCCTAGTATGGGCCCTTAACCCTGGGACCCTAATATACCTACTATATACCCTAGATATACCCTTAAGGGACCTAAGGGACCCTAGAATCCCTTAGGGGCCCATGTTAGGGGCCCATGGGTTCAACCTTAGATCATCCGAAGGTCCCCGTGCGCCACTGGCCCTGGTAGACGCGTCCGTCCGCCCAGGTGAAAGTGCCTGCATCCCACAGAAGGGTTTAGTTCAGGGTTTAGGGGTTTAGGGGTTAAGGGTTTAGGGTAGTTTAGGGGTTTAGGGTTTAGGGTTTAGGGTAGTTTAGGGGTTTAGGGTTTAGGGTACAGAGAACCGCTTCTGTGCCCACAACTATCATCGCTTGCATTATGGTAGGTTGAAGGCATCTGCCAAAGGTTCCAAGTTGTTCCAGTGTTTGGTTCGCTGGAGGTGTTGTCGCTTTGACGGCCTGGAGCTTTTATGACAGGCTGAGCTCTACTGTTTGACGTGCTCATTTAGAACAGGACAGCAATTCGTGGTTTTGTTCGGGCGAGGGCTGGGCTAAAGACTTGCAAAGTTTCGAGCATCCTCCCGTTGTGGGGCTTCTTTGCCATGGTTAGGGTTTAGGGTTTAGGATGATCTTTTTCGAGGTATGTGTTGAAGGCTTACCAGGCTTGCTGCAGGCCTTCGTCATCAAGCGTGAACAGCGTATTTTGCCGCACTCGGATGCGCAGAAATTCTGTTTGTTGAATGGCTTGGTCAACGACGCGGCAGAGTACGGGACGGGCCTGACTGATTATAGCAGGTGTCGAAAACTGCGCAACAGGGCAAGCACGCTATAGCTACTGCTGATTTTGGAACATGTGGAAACCAGTGCACTCGAGCCACCATTCTCCGAGTGCAGCAACAGCTCATGACACCAACTGGGTAGCTCTCAGTTCTCCAAATGAGAGTCCCGTGTTGCACCACGCACAGAATACCTATAACTCCCATAACCCGAGACCCCAAACCCCTAAACCCTAAACCGGAACCTGTACAAAAGCTTCAGGCAAACCTTTACTAAACCCTAAACCCTAAACCCTAAACCCTAAACCCTAAACCCTAAACCCTTCAAATGAAGAGAACCACTCAGTTGCCAGGACCCCGGCCTTCACCATGTTTCATGTCTCTCTCCTTGGCTGAGAGGGGCTTCGGGCTCACCTTGGGTTTAGGGTTTAGGGTTTAGGGTTTAGGGTTTAAGGTTTAGGGTTTCAAGCGTCTCGCCTCTCCCGCCCTGGCTCCCAAGCCACGTCTTGCAGCCACGCGAATCAGACATCCCGCAGATTTACCA